CGAAGAATCAGAGTCCAAATCTATTAAATATTTGATTTTTGGCACTTTATTATTTTTTATCAATTTAGGCATATTTTTTATGGCAAAACAACATTGCCGGGTTAGCTAGTATATATATATATATATATATATTATATATATAATTTATTAATTTTTTACCTGTGCAAGATACAAAACACATCTGGCAGCCTTCATACGTAATTGTTTCTTAGACATTTCTAATTGGTCAATTAATTTCATAATTATCGATTTCTGTTGTTCCTCTGTCAACTTTTGCCAACTTGGTGGTAGTTTATATTGCTCCATTTGATCTTCAAACGCCTACAAAAAATAGTACAATATATTATATATATATAGATATATATTATTTATTAAATTGTAGATGTATATCTATTATTACCTTGACGTTGAGCTGCAGCTCAGGCTGCTCTGTATAACTATACAACTCTGATATTTCATATTGCATGTGTATCTGTATCATCGTAAACAAAATCCAAATCCGGACACTCTGTTCAGGGCCTCCCTGTGAAGAGCAATAGAGTTAATAAAGTTTGCATTAACCTTTCTCTCGCAAGCGGAACATTTTGTATCTGAGTAATTCTGTAATACATACTTCAGAATCTCATGTTCATAAAAGTTGTTAAACGATAAACGATAACATTGCATCAGTGTCGCCCATGGAGTTTAATTCAAGTTGAATAGAACATTCACTCTCCATGGACCATTTGCTTACAACGCTGTCTTGGGAAAATATTTGGAGCTTTTTTCAAGCACACTTCACAAAGAAAATGTTTTAGATAAAAATAAATGAATTAATCATGGATTTATTTAGGTGCTTACATTTAAATAGTCATCGTTTTCGTATTTAATATTGTTGGCAGTAATTCCATATATATTCTCGTCCATTATTTGTGACAAGCCCCAAAAGTTTCAATATGGATTTTTAACAGATAGCCACAACACGGATTTATAAAAATTAAAATTGTAAATTAAAATGTGTTAAAACGCAAATGTATGAGTAAAATTAAATGATTAAATCACATATTTGTTTACGTCTGCACAAATAATGTGCAATGCTTTTGGCATTTAATTTTGACAGCTGGGGTAATGTTGTAAATAATACACATAGGGCAACACTAATAAATAATAATTAAAATTCGAATAAATTAAGTAAAGTTAATAATAAATACTGCTTATTCAAAGGTTTAAATATAATATTTTGTTATTTTTGATTATACACTTATATATTTAATTATTTAAATACAACTTTCACAACTTGTTTAATTAAATTTGACAGCTGAGGTAATGCCATAAGTAACACACAGATGGCAGTACTGGTGAAAAATTCAAATTTAAAATTAAAACTTATAAATATCAGCTGATTTAATAATAAATGCTAAAAATTTATGACTTTTGATTTTATTTAGACTTTAAAACTTTATTTTCAATATTTTGACACACTTAAGTGTACAAACAATAAATTTAATCTATACTTGTATTAAAAATGACACACTAACAGTGAAACATTTTATTAATTTAAATTTATACAAAATACGTAAATTTGGACTTTTTATTTATAATAATACAATTTATAAGTATTTAAGTATTGACATATTTATTATTCATTAGATGATAACTAATTTATAGTTTATTCTTTATGTTTTTGCTCAGACCTCCCACAAAGAATGTTTGAATTTTGCTGACTCATCAAATAAATGTAAATACAAGCTAATACAAATATTTATAACGTACATAATTCTGTTTTCAATTTCCATCTACTTGTTTATCACTTTTATTATTATTTATTACTTTATTATAATTTCTTTTTCAAATTCGGCGCCCAATTTAAAAAAAAGTTGGTACAATTGTTTTCCTTTACAATTGCGCAAATGTCATATGTTAACACGAATCTCATAAACCAAATATGAAATTATGTTTATTTAATAAAAAACAGTGTTTAAATATTGATTTATGCTCAAAAAATCGTGTGCAACATATTATTATTGATTAGTAACAAATTCACAATTTCAATCAAAGGTAAATCTTCATCATATCTTGAGTTTACATTAGGCCATGCCAAGTATATTGTTATCAATATTATTTTTTCTTATCTCTAAAGATAAAAATTGCTCTTGGGTTATGACATTAAGGGAACATAGTTTATCAATTTGTTTACATAAAAATTCTTGATGTTATAATGCATGCTGTGCTTTGGTAAAGCATATTTTTATATGTATATTCATACTCTTGTTTTATTTGTTTTTAGTGTATATAAATAAAAGTTTTTCACGATGATGGGGGCACCTGCAACCTCCGATATCATGATTATCGGAGGCAATTCACATCCTGAATTAGCTAACTTAGTTGCCAAGTAAGCAATTGTAATATATTTACAACTAATTTGTGAAAAAATGCTTGGTATATATAGTCTTTTATTACTTCAGGCGTCTGGGTGTTAAAAATGGGGGCTGCTCAGTCTACCACAAAACAAACCGTGAAACCATGGTTGAAATTGGGGATTCTGTTCGTGGAAAAGATATTTATATTATACAAACAGGAACAAAGTATGTATTTACCTAACCTTCCTTACTCATTGCAAATTCAGTAGTATTATATTTTTAATATTTCTTTCACAGAGATGTGAATAATAACATTATGGAACTTTTGATCATGGCCTATGCTTGCAAAACGTCATCTGCAAAATCGATTGTTGGTGTTATTCCTTATTTGCCTTACAGTAAACAGTGCAAAATGCGTAAACGTGGTTGCATTGTCAGTAAACTACTAGCTAAGGTAATAAAAAACACATTGTGATCTGCACATTATCAATATTTATTTATTATTTCTTTATTCTTAGATGATGTGTAAATCAGGTCTTAGCCATATCATCACAATGGATTTACACCAGAAAGAAATACAAGGATTCTTTGATTGTCCTGTTGATAATTTAAGGGCATCACCGTTCTTACTTCAGTACATCCAAGAATGTGTAAGTATTAATTACATAAATTTAGTTTACACAATATATATATATATATATATATATATATATATATATATTTATTTATTTATTTATTTATTTATTTATTTATTTATTTATTTATTTATTTATTTGTGTATTGTTCTTTAGATTCCAGATTATAGAAATTCAGTTATAGTAGCCCGCAATCCTGGTTCTGCTAAAAAAGCTACATCATATGCTGAACGTTTGCGTTTGGGCATTGCTGTTATTCATGGTGAACAGAAGGAATCGGAGAGTGATGAGGTTGATGGTAGATACTCACCGCCTACAGTGCCTAGGTAAATTTATTTACTAATTATTTACGTAGCATGATTGTAAGTTAAATTATCTTCTACATTTTGAATGACAAAGAAAGATTCTATTAATAGGAACATATTATTATATGTACATTCATTTTGTTGGTGGTCACTTATATTTGAATTCTTTGATACGATTTATATGAATGCCCTGATTCTAATTAACTTGAATCTTGCTTATATGCAGACAAATATAAGCTGAAGCATTCATTTACTACTTGTCATTAAAGTTTTCTCTAAAAAATTCAAAAACTGGCCTATCAAATTCCTTCCTATTACATATATTACAATAATTATTAAAAATAAGTTAGTTTCAAATTAGTTTTCAATAAAATATAACCAAATACTTCTGTATCACCTTGATGATATTAAATTAATGTGTAATCTCTAAAAAATACATTTATTATAAAAAGTATCATTATTTTATGAGGGGATTTATGTTTTATTTTTTGAATTGCACAACACTCATTTAATAATTCAATATCTATAAATACTCTTAAGGAATAAATACTTTTTTTCTAAGTGGACTTTAAGTTAAATTCAAACTTCATTCATAAATTTTCTATCACTTTCTGAATGATAAATAAAAAAACTTTCTATCACTATGAATTCTCCCATCAATCCTGATATTCTTTTATAATACACTTGATACAAATTATATAGTAAACTTCTTTATTTGCAAATTTAATAAGAAATACAGATTGGTAATTTATATATATATATATATATATATTTATATAAAATTTACTAGTATTTACCATAAATACTATTAAATATTTAATTTTTATCATAAAATATAATTAAAAACATACTGTATTCATATTCAGCTTTCCGAGCACTGATTATTTATATGCCACATGCTAAATGTAGTCTGAGGTTTGCCTATTGGCAAGTTGCTGTATATTCTCAGTTATTCATTAAAGCATAAATTCTGCATAAATGAAAAATAGATTTATATTGTGCTATTTAATGATACTTTATATTCAAACAGTTCTTAGCAAAGTTTTTATAGCCGCAAGTTGCTAGTATATTTAAAGCTCATGGCAATAAAATTCAATATAAAAAAACTAGTGATCCACCCATAACATATGTTTGAATTTTGGAATCAATGCTCTTTATTCTAATTTGATTTTAATGCGGAATAAAAACTAGTGGGGTGCATGGCATCGTGCCTTAAGGCAAATTGCTGAAACTTCCTGTACCGTAATTAAAAATCTTGGTACGGAATCCAAAAAAATTTACACAAAATATGTACACACTATTAAAATCTCTATAAAATATATGATAATTTGAGGTGGATATGTTCAATATACATTTTTCACCGCCAAATGACATTTTTTTTAAACTTATTTTTATGGAGAGTTCATAACAGCTAGACCTGTCTTCCCAAAAATTTAATCAGTTTATCTTGTCAATACACGTAAAATGTTTTTTGAATTATCAAAATCGAATGCTCCGTTCTCTTAAAAGCTGAGTTACCGTTTTCGGCACTTTTTGCCCCGTATCTTCGGAACGGCTAGACCTGCCTTCGCCAAAAACTAATCAGCACGTCTCCTTATCAATACAAATCGAATGTTTTTTGAATTATTCAAATCGGTTGATCCGTGTTCCCGAAATCGTCGACGAAAATTTGTATCCGCACATACATACACACACGCACACACACACACACACATACATCCATTTTTTCTAAGGTATGCCAAAATATTCAGAAACCTCTGAAACGTAAAGATATATAAAAATTTTCATTTTCGATTTTTTTGCGATTACTGTAACTTGCCCTACGGGAAGTTAAAAAAAATTAAAAGCTAAGATCTATGCTATTAGGCCGGCCCTTGCAATGACTATATTAATATGTCCCAGGAACAATTATATGTGGCATGCATTGCAGTGAGTAAACTATTCATTTAATTTATATTAGCAGTTCATTTTACTTATAACAATCGTTTGCCGGGCCAGCTAGAATATATACATACATATATACATATATATGTACAAATATGTATGTATTCATGTAAAAAAATCGAAAATAAAAATCGAAAGAGGTTTTTGAACATTTTGTTATAACTTACAATCAGAAAAAATGGATGTGTGTATGTGTGTGCGGATACAAATTTTCGTCGACGATTTCGGGAACACGGATGAAGCGATTTGAATAATTCAAAAAAACATCCGATTCGTATTGATAAGGAGACGTGCTGATTAGTTTTTGTCAAGGCAGGTCTAGCCGTTTCGAAGATACGGGGCAAAAAGTGCCAAAAACGGTAACTCAGTTTTTAAGAGAACGGAGCGTCCGATTTTAATAATTCAAAAAACATTTTACTTGTATTGACGAAATGAACTACTGATTAAATTTTCATGAAGGCAAATCTAGCGGTTTCGGAGATCTAGTAAAAAAAAGTAAAAAAAAATGCCATTTGGCGCTCAAAAATGATCATTAGACATATGCACATCAAATTATCAGATACTTTATAGAGATTTTAACAATAAGTATAAATTTTGTTTACATTCCTGTGGGTTCCGTACCAATGTTTATCCGTTAGACGGCGACGCGGCGCTTACGCGCTTTTTTTTTGTCTCTATGCAGTTAAAACAGTATGATTGCTTTGAAAAAAAGTTCAGAATTTCCAAAATATTTCAAAACACACTTTTTTTCAAAGTCTTTCTTTCAAAAAAAGTAATTTTTTGTCAAATTTATAGTTTCTCAAAAATCATATTTTTTCGAAGTAATTTTTTTTCAAAAATGTTAATCGATTTTAAAAAAATAATAATCTTTGGTACGGGAAGTTCCAGCAATTTGCCTTAAGGCACGATGCCTTAATTGCCTTAAGACAGAATTCCACTTACAGCTAGTTTATGTATATAAGTTAGCGAAATATATTAAATATTTACGTTTGAATATTGCGCGTAAGGATGTATGCTTTGAAGTTAGTAACACTCGGGCTTCTTTGTAAATCGAGGGCGGTCAGGAGTTATATGCACATTGTACCACGTGACCGGCATAGTCTTGCGCAAAACCCTTTCGCGCACAATTATTTTGCGCCAAAAGTGATTCATTTGAGAGTAGAATTCATTTGAGCTCGGTTTTAGTAGAAGAGAAGTTGTGATATAAATCGTGGATGTAAAATCAGTGCTTTTGCGTTTTAACACTTTGAAGACTGTATTCCCACCGGTGGCTTGCGTTATCTTGTCCACCGGTGGGATAACCTGGAAAAGACAAATTTTGTTCTTTTTCTATTACCACGAGGTAAAGCACAATTTTAGATCACGTGTTAATAAGGTATATATTATCTTGCATGCATTTTTTATCACTACTTTTATATCTTATCTCATGTGTCTTTTCCTCTCTTATGATTTTTCTTCTGTTCTGTTTACTTTTATGTTCGTTCTGTTCTTCTCTTCTGTTGGGTTTTTTGCACAATGCAAAATTAGTATGAGTCACAATGCATCATCGAGGATTCGTACAATATCTCAATCCAGGTCTCGCACAATGGACGTTTCTGGAGGCGTTCCTGTACATCCTGCCAAGGAGAAGCCCCCGATAAATGTCGTTGGGGATGTTGGAGGAAGGATCGCTATAATGGTGGTAAGTGAAAGGAAATAATTGATATTAGGTTAGGTGGCCACTCGTGGTAACATAAACTCAATTTTCAAAAAGTAGAAGTAGTGTTCTTACGATTAGTGCGAAAGGATATATAAATATATAATTTTCTTCTTAGGATGATTTAATCGATGATGTCCAATCCTTTGTGGCTGCAGCCGAAGTCCTGAAAGAACGTGGAGCCTACAAAATCTACGTCATGGCCACTCATGGTCTTCTCAGTTCAGATGCACCACGTTTAATCGAAGACTCACCAATCGATGAGGTAAATGAAATAAAACCCTATAATTTCATTTAGAGATTTGCCTATAAATACCAGTATTTTTAACTTCCCGTAGGGTAGTTATAGTAATGGGCCGAAAATCGAAAATGAAAATTTGTAAGAACTTTCAGCTTGTTTCAACTAAATAATTTTATTTCTAATTCTTTTTTTCAAAAAATATTTTTGTAATTTTGGGTCGAAAATTCAAAAATTTACCCAGGCTAAGCACTGTCTGGTACAAATATTTACCCAAGTGCGTTTAGACTGTTTGTGTATTGGAGCACTTTTTCAATTTTGTTCAAACTATTGAAAAATGTGAAAATGCCGCCAAGCTAAGCACAGTATAAGTGAAAATGTTGCACAGAATTATTTGCAAATGCGTTTAGACTGTGACTTTTTCAATTTTGTGCAAATATTAGGCAACTATTTTTTTTTTTTTGAAATTAAATTCGAAATGAAATGACGATTGTTAATGTTCTGGAGATAAATTGATTTATGATTTACATTTGATTTGCTCAGATGTAACAAGATAGCGAAAATAATGAAAGTTACAGTATTTGTAATAATATATTTGAAAACGTTTAAAATTTCTCAAATATTTTCTTCCAGCAATTTGCCTTAAGGCACAATGCCATACACCACTAGTATTATTCTGTTTTTATTCCCTTTAGGTTGTGGTGACAAACACAGTTCCCCACGAGATTCAAAAAATGCAGTGCCACAAAATCAAAACCGTGGACATCTCTATAATGTTATCAGAAGCTATTCGACGTATTCATAACAAGGAATCGATGTCGTACCTTTTCAAAAATGTGACCCTGGAGGATTAATAATAATATAAGTACCCTATATACTAATATATTCATATTGCAAATATATATATATATATATATATATATATATATATATATATATATATATACTTGTTATTGATAAGAAATATATCCATCACATATATTTTGTTCTAATCACACATCACTATTGTTGTGAATACCCAAGGTGAAATTTTGGACAAGTATATTAAAATAACAATGAATTTATCACTGCTGATAAAAGAGAAATTTACCAGTCGATTTTTGTTCAAATTTACACCACGGTATATCATTAACTATTTTTTTTATATTTATATGTTATATTTGTGCAGTAAAAGCTCTTTATTCGTTTACTATCATAAATACGCCGCGTATACAAAATGGTAATTTATGTGTAAAAACTGTCTTAAAATAATTTTTAACATTTAAATTTTTCGTATTAAAAACAAATACCTTATTCATACTCAGCTCTTCCAGCTCTATTTTTTGATATATCACATATACAGGCAAGTTGCTGTTATTGCATTATAAATTTAGTTGCATTATTTTGTTATAGGATGAGTATAAATAAAAATGAAATGTGGATTTGGATTGTACTCTCCGAGACCTTTTAAATGATATGTCACATGCAAAAAGTTCTTAGAAATTTTCCTCATGGCAAGTTGCTGATTTCATATAATTAGCCAGCATACTTATATCCCTTATATAATAAAATAAACTAAAATTGATGTTGGATTCGTATTCAGCGCTTCAAGCTCTATTTTTTGATATTTTAGTATATCACATGCCAAATGTGGTTTCAGATTTGCCTAAAAGCAAGTTGCTGCTCTTGCACTACAAATTTAGTTGCATTATTTTGTTATAGAATCATTTCAAATAATAATGAAAAATGCATTTGTATAGTGCTCTCTGAAACCTTTTATCCCAGTTCTATTGAATTTATTAATTATATGAAATATTACAAAAGTTTGAATAAATATAAAAATTATTTTTCGAACCTTGGGGCTTAACATAGTACCTTGCGTAACTCCAAGCGTAATAATTCTTAAAAATGTTTTGAGTGTTTGATGAACCACTCGTTATGGACGATTAAATCGGGATCAATTTCGATTTTTTATAGTACGAACATAATTGTACTGAAACCTTTTATTTCAGTTCTTCGACTTGATTAATTATATGAAATATTATAAAAGTTGTAATAAATATAAAAATTATCTTTCAAATCTTGGGGCTTATCATAGTACCTTGCGTAACTCCAAGCGTAATAATTCTTAAAAATGATTTGAGTGTTTGATGGATCACTCGTTATGGACGATTACATCAGAATCAATTACGATTTGTTATAGTACATAATTGTACTGAAACCTTTTATTTCAGTTCTATTGAATTTATTAATTATATAAATTATTACAAAAGTTTGAATAAATATAAAAATTATCTTTCATACCTTGGGGCTTATCATAGTACCTTGCGTAACTCCAAGTGTAATAATTCTTAAAAATGTTTTGAGTTTTGGATGGATCACTCGTTATGGACGATTAGATCAGAATCAATTTCGCTTTCTTATAGTATAAATAAAATTAAAAATAGACATTAGATCTGCATTGTGCTCTTCACTTTCTGTTACAGTGAATCCTTGCAAAATCCTAGCATTGTTGCTATTGGCAAGTTGCTTCTTTTTCTTATATAAAGGACTATTTAACTCAACCAAAAATGTGGTTTGACTTTTGCCCACAGGCAAGTTGCTGTTCTCTCTCCTAAATTGTCCCACAAATTCTATTGTATAGAATAAATATATATGAAAAATGGATAATATATTTATATTATGCTCCAAGACCTTAATCATGTGTCTTAGGAATGATCTTATTGGCAAGTTGCTGATTATTCTCTTTTATATACTGCATCAGCCAGTATAATTATTTCTTTATATGATAAAATAAACAAAATTTTTTATCAGATTTGTATTCAGCTCTTCGAAATCTATTTTTTGTTATATGCCGCATACTTCAATGTGGTCGATGAAGATTTTCTATCGGCAAGCTTCTGCTCTAAATATAAATATAAATATAAATATGAATATGAATATAAATATGAATATAAATATGAATATAAATATAAATATAAATATAAATATTTCACTATACTATAAATCTTTCACTATAAGTTCAGTTTCTATTTTGTTATAGAATTAATATAAATAAAAATACCAATGTTGTGCCCTCTGAGGACTTTTAAATGATTTAATTCTTCTAATGGCAAGTTGCTTATTTCTCACTTTAATATAAGGAACTATTCAGCTTAGTCAGTTATTTCCTTTTATAATAAAACAAACTAAAATGTATATCGTTATGATAAATGATATTTTCCTATTGGCAAGTTACTGATATAAAGAACCAGCCAGTATGTGGTTCCAAATTTGCCTACAGGCAAGTTACTGTTCTTGCACTATAAATTTAGTTGCATTATTTTGCTATAGAATCATTTCAAATAATAATGAAAAATGCATTTGTATAGTGCTCTCTGAAACCTTTTATTTCAGTTCTATTGAACTTATTAATTATATAAAGTATTACAAATGTTTGAATAAATATAAAATTTATCTTTAGAACCTTGGGGCTTAACATAGTACCTTGCGTAACTCCAAGCGTAATATCAACCGCCAATTATTACCTTTTATGGTAAACCAAACTAAGACAGTTATCACATTCGTGTTTGGCTTATATATATTATCTTTTGCCTATTGGCAAGTTGTTTTAATGAATAGAGCTTTTACTATATATTTATATATCTATATATATTTCTTTCACATTATATTATTATAAGTTGCAGGATTGTTTTTAGTTTATATAATTTAGGGTCCAAAATCTCGAAATTGTTATGAATAAGAAATATATCGAAATGTATTTTTTAGGTAATGAATATTGCATGTCATGTATATTTTTATATATGATAAATTAATGAGTAAATATAAAAATAGTATGTATTAGAAATAATTATATTCTATAGACACGAATAAAGGAATTAGAGAAATAATTTTGATTTTATTCATATATTAATTCATAGTAATAGAATAGTAAATTTAAATTAATAAAATATGTCTATAAAACTACTAGTAGTGCATGGCATCGTGCTTTACGGCAAATTGCTTGAACTTCCCGTACCAAATTTTTTTAAGAAATATTTTTAAGACTGAAAGAAAACGATTTTTGAGATTTTTAACATTTTTAAAAATGATTTTTGGTAAATTTGATTTTTTATACTTTGAAATATTCTGGAAATTCTGAACATTTTCTCAAAGCAATGGCGATACGTTAGCAGCATACAAACGAATTATGGAAGCGCGTGGGCGCCGCGTTGCAGTGTTAGGGATAAACATAGGTACGGAACCCATAGAAATGTAAACAAAATTTGTAATTATTATTATTAAAATATCTATAAAATATGTGATAATTTGATGTGCTTATGTCTAATGATCATATTGCTGGAACTTCCCGTACGAAATTTTTTAAAGAAAGATTTTTAAGATTTTTTTTAGAACTCTGAAAAAAAATCGATTTTTGAAATTTTTAAAGTTTTTGTAAGTTATTGACCTTCTTGATAAATTTGATTTTTTTATGCTTTAAAATATTTTGGAAACTCTGAACTTTTTTTCAAATGCGATACGTTAGCTGCGTAGAAACGAAATATCGAAGCGCGTAGGCGCCGTGTCGCAGTACAACGGATGAACCTTGGTACAGCCATAGAAATGTAAACAAAATTTGTTATTATTATTATTAAAATATCTATAAAATATGTGATAATTTGATATGCGTATGTCTAATGATCATATTGCTGGAACTTCCCGTACGAAATTTTTTTAAGAAAGATTTTTAAGATTTTTTTTAGAACTCTGAAAAAAAAATCGATTTTTGAGATTTTTAAAATGTTTGAAAATGATTTTTGGTAAATTTGATTTTTTATAATTTGAAATATTTTGGAAATTCTGAATATTTTTTCAAAGCAATGGCGATACGTTAGCAGCATGCAAACGAAATATAGAAGCGCGTGGGCGCCGCGTTGCAGTGTGAGGGATGAACATTGGTACACGGAACCCATAGAAATGTGAACAAAATTTGTTATTATTATTAAAATAACTAATAAAACATGTGATAATTTGATGTGCATATGTCTAATGATGATTTTTGTCTATTTTTATTGGATCTCCGAAACGACTAGACTTGCCTTCACCAAAAACTGATTAAATTTTAAATTTAAAAATGCCGCTATTTCATATTTATTAATTTGGGTGTTATATATATTATTTATCTATGTTTCAGAAAAATATACCATTTTGGATTTTTCATTCTTTTATCGGAAGTTGTGAAGATGAAGTCGTCGTGAATTTGGGCTAAAAAACATTTTATTTGTGTTTTTTTGTAAAGAAACTATTGGATTATATAAGGTAAGAATAAATTTAATTTATTATGCATATATATATATATATATATATATATATATATTTATATGATAAAATTGTTTCTTGGGCATCCATCCAGTAATTAAAAAACAGTTTTATTGAAAAATGTTTTTATTCAGATAACATACGTTTCGGCTCTTGATTTGACCCATCTTCAGTGCATACAAATAAATTTGAAAAAAAAAACACAAAAACATTCAAAATTGCACAAATATGAAATAAAAATTGATAAAACGTCGAGTTATGATAAATTTTAAAACTTGTAAGATTAAAATAAATAATATATTTTATTATAAAAAAGCTTATTCCAAACGAACATGTTGTCAGCTTGGAATATGTATTACGTGTGTCAATTTTATCATATTATTTCACCTTCTGAAGAAAAACTTCTCGCTTTATATATATATATATATATATATATATATATATATATATATACTCGTATATTATATTTCAATTATTTATAATAAAATAAACGTGAATACCAAAAAATACTTGCAACCGATTAAACTATGTTGTTTCAGGACGCGCCATTGCGATTCTGAAGTTTGAAATATTTTTTTTATAAAAGTT